TGACGGCAGCAGTGACACTGGAGTGGAGCACTGTGGCGTTCTTTGTGACGCCTGGGTCCTGTCGTTACCAGCTGGCCATTGGGAGTGGTCTGACAGACAGATCGGGCTACTGCCTGAGGCCAGAGCAGGTCGAGCGCTGCTCCGCTGCCTAACTTTGTCGGTTACTAGGCCACCCAATCTTGGCAGGGCCCTCGGCTTCCTAGATATGGCAACCTCCACCAGTTCACACCGACCCATCAAGGGAATCCTCAAAAATAAAGGCTCGTCAACTTCGTCGATAGAGGCTCCCACCCAGCAATGTGGAGGGGTCAAGCAGGAAGTCCAGAGAAAGAAGTCCCAGAAGTGGGATGAGTCCAACATCCTGGCAACGCACCGCATATCCTGCCGAGACTACGATTTAATGAAGGTGAACGAGCCTGGCAGTCCCTATGTCAGTGTGCGGGATGATGGGGAAGATCCTGTGAGTAAAGCCGAAGGAAAGGAAGCTGTAACCCTGGACATCTTAGCTGAAAAACTAACCGCCCCTGAAACCTTTGGCCTAGGCCGTCCGGTAGAGGAGCAAGAGAGCAGCAGGGCTCACACCAGTAAATACCTTAACAAACAAGAAAGACAGCGCCAGTTCGAGATGAAAAGGAAACTTCACCACAACGAAGGGCTGAACATCAAGTTAGCTAGACAACTGATTTCTGAGGAGCTTCAATTGGAGGCAGAGGAAGATGAGAACCAACAGAGTCTACCACTTTACAAATGAAGAAAACACTATTACAGAAGAAGCTCCCACAAGTGACGAAGTGTAACATCACGATGCCTATAACATCTGCGTCCCGTCGCCGCTGTCATTGCTTCTCGAACCCGTTAACATCATATGCTGCTTCTTGCTCTGTAGTTGCCATGCGTTAAGGACCAAATTACTTGTCTGATTAATTGGACTTGTCCTTCAGGAATTAAATGGTGAACCATATATTCTTTTCTGTTTGATGTTCTTGTGCTTAACTCTTTAAATTTAATTCTTTAAATATAGATCCGCCCAAAATCACTTTACTTTTATAAATCTACAGGTTAAAGTATATATTCTATAGTTATAAATGTTTTTAAAAACCTAGAGGGGGACTAGTTTATATTCTCTTGTGACGTACTCGCTTTTATAAAAAAAGGTTTTGTTTAAAAAATGAAGTGTAATTGATATTTAGGCTGAAAAACACTTGTTTTTAGGGTGATTTGCTCATCGAGAGGGAATGTATTATAACAGTTATCGTCAAAATTCCTTAGCCTAGTAACTTAACATTCCTTCTTAATTTTCTTTTGGTATTTACAAGGAAATAACTTTTTATCAAAATAGCCTTTTTTTTCACAAAATATCAGATTAAAATTGTAAGTGTCTGTACACTAGTTGAATCTAAAAAAAATTTCTAATGTGGTTATCTAAGTAGTTCCTTCTCATATCTGTCTTAACCCTTACCCTTTACTTCCTATGTCTTGGCAGCCCAGTACCTAACCAATCCCTTTATGAAGTATCATAGGTTGTCAGGACATTATGAAATTGTTCTTCCCTCAAATATTCTATCTTTTGGGGCAATGATGTCACTTCTATTTTGACCATTATGGTTTATTCAGCCTTCCAAGATGTGGGAACAATAGATTGAATAGCAGAAATAGATAAGAAATAGAATTCAGCTGCTAAACTTCTATTCCTTTATGGTTCACAACTTGCTAAATACTTTGTTTGACCCAGCTAGGTTTTAGACAACACCTGAGATTCTCTCCAGGGAAAGTGTTATTCAGTGATACAGTTTCTGAATGTACAGACAGAAGTAAACCCAAGAGTTTGTGTTCTTCCTTTCTCGTTCATTTAAAATATTACTAATTACATTTCACATTTATTTGTGAGAAATAATACAGAGAGAGCCTGCCTGCCACTTACCTAGTTTAACTCAATGGTAACATTGCAAAATAATAGTGCAATACAACTTCCAGTGTATTGATATTAATATAATCAAGATAAAGAACATCCCATCATAATAGGGATCCTTCATGTGACCCTTTTATAGACACATTGGTTGGTTCTCCATTACTATAATTTTGTCATTTCAAAACTCTGGCGAGCAAGGAACCTGAGGCATTCACTGGTACAATGATAGTGTTGGCTACAAGTGGAACATTTGTTAATTACACTATTAACTGCACACATATTTACATATTTTCATCTACACCAAGGAGATCTGGGGGGAAGGGTGCTGTATGATTCCAAAATGGTGTTTTTGAAGGTGTTCTAGGGGAGAGGATGCCTTATTAAAAGAGGAGCCAGAATTTTTTATTGGGATTATATACTTATTTGAATGAGAAGAGGTGGTTTCCAGATGCCTGCAGAATGATTCAAAAGGTGAAGATGGAGGGAGCCCAGCCCAGGAGACCTGTCCCTGCTCAGAAGAAGAGTTGCTGGGGGGGTGTTGTACAGAAGAGATAAGAGGAATTCTATAAACAATTCCCACATGAGTAGGTAACCAGATGAGGACACTGAAGGGGATAACACATAGGGTGGTCGACTTGGAGAATGCCTTTCCATCAGGTGATACACTATTGCTCTCCAACACAACACAGTACCACACTTCAATCAGAAATGTGGGCGGAGAGAAGAGGAATGGAGCCTGCAAAATCCCTTTTTTTCCGTGCAGTACTGGGGTTTAAACTCAGGGGTTTGTATTTGTGAGGCAAGTGCTTTACCTCTTAAGCCACATCTCCAGCCCTTTTTGCTTTATTTATTTTGGAGATAGGGTCTCACTTTTTGTCCAGACCAGATTGGACCAAAATCCTATTTTACACTTCCTGCCTTTGCTGGGATGATTGGTGCCTGCCACCACACCCAGCTTTTTTTCCCATTAAGATGGGGTTTTCACAAACATTTTTGCCTGGGCTGACCTGGAAACACAATCCCTCCAATCTCAGCTTCCCATGTACGTTGGAATGATGGGCACACACTACTGTGCCTAGCTATTGATTAAGATGTGGTCTCATGAGCTCTTTTGCCTAAACTATGATCCTCCCAATTTCAGCCTCCCAGGTAGCTAGGATTACAGGTGTGAGCCACCAGTGCTCAGCCTAAATCCAAATTTGGCAAAGAATACAACCAAGAAATTTAAAAACTAAAAAGTGACCAAATTGTCACTACCATTTTAAAACTGGAAAATTCAGTCCATAAGCAGCAGGATGCAATACTTAATATATATTAAAGAGGAAGCAAAAGAGATTGTACTCTGGACCCATGCCCACACTGGTTGGGCTTTAGCAACTGAAGTTACGTGTGCAGACGCCTTTGGAGAACTTAAGAATGCAGGCTGTAAAGACCTGGGGAAAACTCAAAATTTGTGGGTGTCTGTGTGTGAGCATGAGGGAAAGCTGCCTCAGACATTCTTCCCGACCAGTGTAAACACAGTTCTCTAATACAAGGTTATATATTATTAGCTCCTAAAAAATACAAAGAATTGTTTTTATCATTATGTAGGCAGAGCATTTTTGCATCGCTGAACCTGCCTATGCATGCTGGGTACTAAATAGCTTATTCTTCCAAGGAGCCTTTTTCTTCATTTTTTTTCCTGTTTTAAAGCAGTCCCTTTGAAAGGTGCATATGAACTCGGTTTCCATAGCAATTGCAAGCATCAGTGATAACCCAGAGCTTCTAAGTTATAATGTACAGTCTACCCTATTAATGAGTTTCAGACTGCATTTCCATGAGACAATGGCTCAGCCACTGATAGATAAGGTCAGACCCCATCTTCAAACTTTAAATTAAATCAGGGTAGATCAAAATGCAATGGAGGGAGGAGTGTCCTCTTGGGAAAGTGTGCTGTTAAAAAATATGTCCTTTGTGGAGGCAAAACAGTTGCTTTTGTGGTTTGTAATGCCCAGATGGAAAAATTCTAAAACAGATACAGGTTCATCTGGGTAATTAATGGGATGTTGTCATTTTCTCATGCTATTTGTGAATGAGTTCTTTCCCATAGTAGCTTAGACTCTAAGAAAGCACACAATCTTTTCCCCTGGTAAGAGAAGGTGTGATGAATAATTCTTGCCAAGTCCATAGTAATAACACAGATTCAATGATAATCCATTAAATTGTTTATTCATGCACTGAGTGCCAAGATTCTGTGCCTACCTTCAAGAAGCTCTCAGTTTAGTGGAATACTCAGCCATGGCACCAGGCCATTTCTACCCTGTGCAAGAATGCTCTACAAGGGTTCTTGGGGGACATTGCCCAAGACCTATAAGGCCTTCTATGGAGTCGAGTTTAAGGATAACATCTGGAGGAGAAATAGAATTTAACCAAGTGGAGACAGGTGGACCTGGATTGACTGGCATCCCAGATATAGGTAAGAGGCAATGTTAGTCCTCTGGGGAATTGTAAGGTATCTCATAGGGGAGGCTGCTGAAATTAAAGAGGTAAGAGACTATGAAAGGATCCACATATCACACAAAGACAAAGAAGCCATTAAGATTTTTAAGCAGGAGAGTGACCTGATCAGACTCTTTTTGTGTGTGTGCAGCGCTGGAAATGAAACCCAGGCCTTGTGTATGCTAGCTAAGTACTGAACCACTGAGCTGCATTCCTAGCCCAGGCCCATAGTAATCGAGAGATCACTATGGCTAAGGGAAGGGCCTTGAATCAAACAAGTGGGGAGGACAAAGCTGAAGACAGGAGTACAAACATGTGACGTGGATTGCGGGAAGCTAGTGATGGTAATGTTCAAGTGAAGACCCCCCTACCTTATATTCACAGCAAAGTCACACCTCCCTAGTGCAAGGCACAGAGTGGTCTCCAGAGCAGTTGCATTAGCGTCACCCAGAAGCTCATTAGAAATCCAGATTCTCCAGCCTCACCCCAAACCTACTGACTCAGCATCTCTAGGGCTGGGGCCCAGCAATCTGGACTTTCCACAAGCTTCTCAAGGGGTTCTACTGGACACTCAAGTTGGAGGACCACTGCTCTACAATAAAACTTTTTGATTAACTGAGCTCAACTCTCTGTGGTACAGATCTCACCATTCTTCCATATGTGTAATATGCTCACAGTTTTGCAAAAATACGTTGCATTGAATTTCAGGACTGCATAAGGGTTTGCTAAGAAACTTTCGCGAGTATGCCACAAGATTGAGACCACAGGTATATTTAATCTGTCCCCATGAAACTGTTTCTCTAGTCCATTCTCCTCATTCTCTGATATACTGTGCTGTCCCCACACTGATGTAGGAGGCATTCCTACTGCCACTACACCTTTGCTGAGGATATTCCATTTGCCCAGAATATGTCTTCCTGTTTTTACTACATGTCTCAGTCTTCCATATTCAGTGCAAATCCCACCTCAAACTCCTAAATCAGAATACCCAGTACCTGCCTTGAGGGAGGTAGAAAAGTACAGTAATAGACAGTAAAGGATTTAGAGTCAAAAATATCTGGGTTTGAATCTAGGCTTTGCCATATGTTAGCCGAGTCACCTGAATCAAAGCATGTCACCTGTTTGAGCTGATCTCCTCACAATCATATGAGGATAACAGTAACAATATTTTCCACAGAAGGTTGTTACTGGAATGGTTAAATGAATAGATAGTAAAGCACACGGCTTCTAGTAAATAGTCACAAAGTGGTGGCTATTACCCTTCTCATCTGCACACATTTTCTCTCCATCTATTAAGCTGCTCACCATTTCTACAGTGGTGCTAGATGTTTCTGAAGGTACCTGTCTTTCCCCACTGGACCAAG